GAGCTCGGAATGTAGCGAGTTTGTCCAAGTCTACATTGCGAGTGCGTAGTTGTGACACCAATTCGGCCACAAATACTGTAGTGCCTATGTTGTCAAAAGGAAGGACGAAGGTTTCTCTTCCGTATGCAACTCGGCGAAGCCAAGTATTGTGTAAGCCCTGGTACAAGAACTTCCAGAGGGGGACTTGTAAAGGATCCATCCCTTCAATGTCCTTGTAGCTTGAAAATCTGCTCTGTCGGATTCTAGAAGGGAAGTCCAAACCATTGATCTTGTTGGAGACGTGGAAGTCGACATCAGGTTTCCAATTCTCAACTGGTGGGATTTCAATTGGTCTGCATGTATATCCTTCGTTGACAGAAGAACTTGCTCCTGGGGATGATATAGGTCTCGGTGATCTCGGTGTAAAAGGGTGACGTTGAGGTGCAAAACTGGCGTTGTTGGGGGGTGTCTGTGAGCTCGGAGGCGGCGTGGGCGGAAAAGGTGCCGTAGGCGAAGTCCATGGTGGGTGTGTTGGGAACGATGGGGACGTAGGCGGTGGAGGCGGTATTCCGGATGGGTTCCAAAAGGGTCGATGGGTCGTCATGGCATAGTGCATCGGGCCACGGAACGCCGGTACTGCTTGGTGCCAACCATGTGGATGACGAAGTGGTGTGCGCGAGCGATCCGGCTGGGAAGGAGGAATTCCATTCATATCCGCGCTGTATTGGGAGATCAGGTCCTGGGACGCCATGAGGTAGAGAGGGTCACGAGACAATAGGTCAAAATGCGCTCGAACTGCCGAATGAAAGCTGCGAGAAATGTCAGGGTGAGACAAGGATAGTGTGCGAGTGAAAAAGTGAAACATAATACGAGGTTCCAGTGTGTGAAACATAAGGTGAAAACGAATCTTGCGCAAGGATCCACAATATGAGCATACAGCGAGTCACAAACCTTTTGAGGAAGAAGTGGCAGCAGTACCGAATGTCGGGAGAAGCATTGTTACTCCAAAATAATCGGGCAGGGCCACTAGGCTCACTGGATCGCCGACGTAGAATAGTCGATACTTGTTCTGGTACTCCTCAAGGGTAAAGAATTCACCAACGAGATTTGGAGTGGTGGGTCGAATGTCGAGAACGAGGTCGGCCTTCATGGTGCTGGTCGCGAGAATGGTCGTCATAATATGAGGATCGGCGATCTCGGCGGCTGTAGGTGGAATTGTCCCAAGCAGCATTGTCATGCCAAGATCGGCGAGCATAGTCCCGGGAGCCAGAGGTAGCAGTCTCGCGGCGGCTCGGTGTATTGTGAGAGGCGTCCGGGGCCGGCTCCGAAGGTTCTGGGGCGTCGGCAGAAGGGTCAGGTCGTACTGGACGTGCAGAATCATCAGGAGGTTCCGAAGGTGCATTGGTCTCCGCAGTCTGGTGTGTGATCAAGCCCGGGAAAGCCTGGTGAGTGGAGGCGACGTAGCATATAGATGCAGCGCTTGAGTTCATAGCCGTTGCATTGTCTTTGCCCTTGGCGATGCCCGCAAGGTTGCACAAGCGTTGGATTTGGTCATTTCCTCCAGCTAGGGCACGGATGCATTTGGGTGAGCGGCATATGGCCAGCAGGCCTGATGGGTTTTGTCCTTTGCCTATTTTGTAGAGCTGAGAGGTACAAATCCTGACAGCATAGCCGGGTAGGTTGTCGGTGTCTGCGATCTCAGAGGACATTCCGAAGAACCCGTAACACGGGTATTGGGTCGGTATACCGGCTTCGTTTTTTGTCCAAGTTGCCGGGCGGATGCAGTCTTCAGCAAGAATTTTGGCAACTGATTCCCAACTTGTCTTGTGGTAGATCAGGTAGGTGCCCATGTGTTCGCCACGGTAGATTGGTTTCTTCTTCAATCCTGTGGGAACCGTGATGGTCAGCAAGTTCTCTGGCTCGATATAGAAGGCTTGTGTTTGCTTTGCAAGTTCGATGTCCAGTAAGTCGGATTGTGCAAAGGCCCTGGCAATATTCCTGACGGTGGCTTGGCTGGCTTTGATCCAAATACGATGGTTGTTGACGGTGCGGTATGGTTTAGCCAACTGTTCGAACATCGCGTCCACAAACTGGTTGAAGAGCTGCAAGATAGCCGGGGTCAATGATTGGCGTAGAGGAACAACATGATCGGGGCCAAGCTCGGTCAGGCATCGAACTCTATGGGGGTCATTGGCCGCCGCCACCATTTCATCGAGGTCGATGTCATTCGTGTCAAACTTGGTGAGCGAAATGGTATCAGCAACCTCAGAATTTTCACTGTCGCCGTCCGGAACTCGGAAGGACACCGCGCCGAGTGGTGCTGAAGTGTGGGGTGGTGGGTTGGTTGGTGGTTCCGATGGTGGTGGATCAGTAGGAGAATTGGGTCGAGCAGTGTGGTGGTCGTAGGCGTCGTTGTAGTGGCTTTCGTTCCATGTACCCCAGGTGTCATCAGCATCAGGAGGAGGAATGTAGTTCGGATTGGATGGGTTTGCAGCAGGTCGAAGTATGACTTCACGGCCTCGGGATCGGTGACGTGGTGTCGCGGAGCGTGGGCGTGGATGGGGGCGGTGACGTCGAGGGACCACAGGAGAGCGGCGTCGTGGTGGTGAGCGTCGTCTGTATGGAGATGGTGTTCTGCGGCTCTTGTCGGGTTTCGTAGATGATCGATGACGAGGGAGAGGAGAACGAGGTCGCTCTGCACGTGGAGGAGAATGGCGAAGGCGATAGGAATGTACAGAAGGTCGATGGGAACGTGATCTTGGAGTTCGGGATCGTGGTCGGCGTGTTGGTGGTGGTGGACCGTGTGGTTGGTGAGGAGGAGCAATGGTTGGAGCTGGGACAATGCGATGGTCCTGAACGTCCGGTTCGGTGGGTCTGGCCTTTGGTGCAGGTGGAGGCGTGGCGATCAGTGGTGGTGTAGGTGTAGGTGGCGGTATCTGTGGTGTAGGATTCGGTGGATGTTCATCTTGTTGTAGAAGGAGTTGACGTTGTTCTTGTGCCCGTTGAGAATCCATGAGTAATAGTTGCTGAGCTTGGATAAGTCGAACAGATTCGGCCAGTTGTTGTGCGGTGGAACCCAGGGATGCAAGTTCAGGTGGAACGGATGAAGTCGGTGCTGTCTGAGGTGTCGATGGTGTAGCGTGAGGAGGGGTTTTCGGAGCTGGTCTGCGCGGTCGATCCGGTCTTTTGTCAGAGCGATGCCTGGGAGCTGCTTTGACTGCTGGGGGCCGTGGTGAAGGCTCATTTGGAGGGATCGTCGATGCGTCCATCTGTAATGGAGGTTGAATGTGGTGAGGTGGGTATGGAGAACTGGGCAAAGGAGTTGGTGTCATAGTCGATGTAGGTGGTGTAGTCGATGTAGGGGATGGAGCCGAAGTGGAAGGCCACGCGGGTGGAGCGGTAGGTGCCATAGGAGATGGAAAAGTCGACGGAGCGGTATGTACCATAGTTGGTTCAGGAGCCAAAGGTGAAGGCATGGTGGGTACAAGTTGTGGACCTGGTACTGCATGAGGAGCCGAAGTCAATGAGGTGAACGGCAACGATGTTGGGGCGGATGTAGACGGCATGAGCGAAGCGGAGGATGACCATGTAGGATGCAAAGCCGAGGGATGTCCAAATAAATGTGCACTCGGTGTCGATTGCGGCCACGTCGAAGATGGGTTCGAAGGCTGTGGTGGAGCAGGCCATGATGTTGGAGTGTTCCACGGATGCATCCCTTCAGTAGGTCAAAACAAAAGTGGACAATTGTAAAAAGTTTCACATACAGGATCCAGTCCCTAACTACCTACAAAATCGTGCAATTATTCCCTGCACCGGGACCGTGGTCAAGTCGTGCCGCAATGGCATAAAACAGCTTTCAAGTTCCAACGAATTAGGTGCACAATATGTTTCACCTCACCAGACAACCATCAAAAGAAAGGATCACCACACCTGAAAGTCGTGTGCCTGCCTGATTTCTCTGTCATGATTTGATGCAACGGTGTTGCAAAGCAGCTGCAAAAAACGGAGGTTTCAGAACATTCGGAATGGCTTCCCTTGAAAGAACGCAGCACTGGGGTCCCTGGGACAATAGGAGCGGCGGGACATCACAAAAGGCGAATAACCGAAAGGCTGGCTGTTGCACTTTACTTAAATGAATTACTGAGTTGAAACGTGTAAATTCAGAATTCAAGTCTGTCAACACTCACCCTGAAGAGGGTTGCCTCCAATGGCTCCATGGCACCATGTCGGAGCCACCATGGAAATCACACTAGAGAAGAATGGATCATTATATGATCCGGCAGGAACTGAATCCTGAAACATGCAAACCAGCCTAGATTATTAGATGAATAAAAGAGCCACATGAGGTACTTCTCGCAAACGATGTAGGGCATCCGAAATTGTCAAACGTAGTCATAACCAGATTCCATAGAGTTTTGACCAGCATGTTGAAATCCAAAATAATGTTTCGGCGATTGTTTCCCAAAATAACCCATAGTTCGTCGGCGACAGGATCTCGGCGAAAATAAGTCAAAAAACATAATACTGTCGGCGATATGGTTTCGGCGAAAATCTGAGGAAGGTTCTGATGCATGTAAATGTCAAAATTGATTCCAGATTGCGTCAACAGTGCAGTAAATTGAAATTTCAAATGGACGACGTGGAGGTTCTTGGGTTGAGCCTCTTCCCATTTCAGTAAATTGGCAGGTACGTCACGGTGATCAGCCGTGATATCACAAGCATTGGATAGGTGTCTTCGTTGGCACCTGACCTATCCATGCTCCAGGTGCCCCCTGCAAATTAGTGAAAACCAATCAGAAGTTTTACATCTGTTCAGATGGTACACACACACATACTTGATGCATTTTGATGCTTGTGCCCTACAAGTCGATTCTCGCTTTGAAAAAAGTGCCATCGGTTTTCCAGCATGTTGGGTCCTCGCACCTTGTGTTCGAAGAGTGTTTCGACAGTTGAGGGATCACAATGGCAAGAGGGGACTTGGGAAACGTCCAACAGTTTTCCCGTACCAATAAATGGCCCAGGAAGAATTCGTTGTTTGGATTCTGGGCACTGGATCAGATCGTTCCAGCACCTCAGCTGCATCGTTTTTCCTCGAAACCGAAGGGAAAAATCACAGGACACCTCTGCATTTGGGGACTCAAAAACCACACGCCTAGAATTCCCACTGTTTCCTGTTCACTTTCCCTAAAAACCAGGGCTCCTTCATGCTCATGCGGATGCTGCGCACAAGAAGGTCTGATGGGCGCTGAACGTGTTGGGTTCTGTGAAGTTGAAACAGCTTTGGCCAGGTTTGTTGGAGATGATTCCAGCGGATATTTTAGCATTTTTTTGCAAGTTTTTGGCATATGAGAGTTCCATACCTTGAGTACATCGTGCATGGCTCCGCATTGCCTCTGCTACGGCCAGATGGATCGGCTTCGAGAGAGCCAAACAGGGATGAAACGCACCATGCTGTTTTGGTCACAGTTGGACTCTGAGAAAGGCGCCGGCAGCAGCATTCGACAGCAGCATTGATCACTGGAGAAAGTGTTGCAAGTTCGCCCTGGTCTTACCATCAGCCGTTAACCATCAGACTGTACACTACAGGTACGCAGGTTCTCATGGTTTCTCTATGTTTCTCTAAATTGGTGTTGCATTGGCTGCGGAGCTTTTGTTCCTACTCAAAGACCCTTCACCCCAAAGTCTTGCAAGACGCTCTACGGCCATGGCGACGCAGGACGGGAGAGCTTGGCCAAGCTTTGCAAAGATCCTCCAAGAGGAGCTCTGTCGGTTTGCTGTGCCGTGTGTTGCCCAGCTCCAGTTGCCGCGCCATGGCCAGTTACTACAAGGATTGATGCGTTGACTGATTTCAGAGTGGGCGATCTGCAGATGTGAAAGTTGAAAGCTGGACCTACTGAGGTCCACGCCCTCCTGAGAGTCAGTGGCAAAAGGTCTTTGACCCAGCGCAGGGATGTGGCTGTTGGGTGCTAAGCAGCATAGCGGCCAGTCCACTGATGTCAGTACCGCTGTCAGGATCCACTGGAAAGCAGCTGAGCAGATGATGGCTGACCCAGATGTCTTCTTGGCAGAGATGAAGGCCGGAGCCCCCAATCTTCACAATTTGCAAAGCCCACCTAGGACCTAGGACAAAGAGCTGGAACAGATTTGGAGCTGGAAGTCCTTGCGCTGTTCCAATGAGGCATACAATCCATACGCGATTCCTGCCTATGTGCACCAATCCTTCGAGCACACTCTGACCTTGTGCCTTGGACTGCATTGTGGACCACTTGGGTGGGATGCACTCTGTATTTTGTGATTCTTGACGTCCCAGGCAATCACTCAATTTTGTCAGTGCAGTCAACCAGTCGGACTGCGAGGCCATACTTCGACTACGACCGCATGGTGGATCGGAGCTATGCTCTGGCATGCCTGGGATCGTGGGTCATTGATCCTCGGGCTACCAATTTGGACACATGATGAGAATCCTGTGACGCCGTGGTGCTACCTTGGCAGAACTGAGGCTGCAGTGCAGAGCTGGAAGGAAGCAAAGCAGATGGAGACCTGGGCATGTTTGGTGCACTCGTTGCAGGGGCTGAATTTGAGAATCACTTTCAACACATGTTATTCCCTGACGCGCTCCCCTTTGCTGTCAGGCCGAGGTCGGTGGATACAAATCATATGTCAGCAATTTTTGGTTGCATAGGGCATAGGTGGTCATTTAGTGGAGATTCCCTCTTCTCAAGAATCTTTGGTTGCTGGGGATACCTGTTGATATTGATCGTATCTGACTTCTCCCGAAGATTGGGTGTGTCTGAAAGTGAGAACCCCAAAGATTGTGATGGCGGAGCTCCATTCTCAACCAGAAAATAAAAAAATTGGGCCAGGTACCACTTGAAGCAGCTGCCCGAAGGGCAGACGCTGCTGTCGCAGCGGCAGCCGCTTCTTTCGCAGAAGCGAAAAAGCTCCCAGAGTGACATGGCGGGGGCCCTAGGTCACCATATGCCTCTAACCATGCCGAAATTATGCCCTCCAAAGCCGCCCATTTCCGGTCTTTTCCCCTTCGGGCAGGTGCCCAACTTCAAAGTCGAGCAATGTTGGATCTGGGTCACAGATTTGGGATGCTTCAGCAGCTGCCTGGCACTAAGGAAACTTGTCTTCCAAGGGGACACGCAGTATGTGTGGCACCCTGGGGGTTTGCAAATGCCAAACTCAAACTTCAACTTTGCAAAGTCAACTTTGGTACTCAAAGTCTCACCGACCTATTGGTATGCCAAACTACAAAAAGGAGCCAGGAGTGCTGGAGTCTAAGGTACAAGCTGAAACTCTTGCTGTAATTGTTCTGCCAGCTGAATTGCTATACTGACGCCATTTTTGGTCAAAGATCAGCGATCGAGAGCATCAACAGCAGGCCACAGACTAAGAACAGTGGATTCCAAACACCCCCGTGAAAAGCATCAAGAATTGCATCAAATATGCCTGGATGAAGCAAGCGGAGACAGCCACTCATGTTTTTGTAGAGTTGCATGGCGCATGAGAAAAAACAGGACATCCGTGATTGAGCAGCTATATCGAGCATATTTCGAGCTTATTGTGGCTACATTTTGTTACACCACAGCCATCCTCAGCCATCCACAGCCATCCACAGCCATGGTGTCGTTGGTCTATTCCCTTGGCAAGCGCACGCCCATGATTCCGAGCAGCGCCTGGATCGCCCCAGGTGCCCGGGTCATTGGAGACGTCCGCCTGGGACAGGAGGTGGGCGTGTGGTTCAACTGCGTTTTGAGGGGCGATGATTCCTACATCCAGGTGGGCGATCGCAGCAACATCCAGGATCTCACCATGATCCACTTGGATACGGGCTGCCCTTGTATCATCGGTAAAGAAGTCACGGTGGGGCATTCATGCATCTTGCATGGCTGCACTGTGGAGGATGAGGTGCGGAAGATAGCTGAGACAAGACTGAATCAACCCATACATCTACATAAGCACACTTACAATTACACCCAGAAAAGAGAGACATGATATGCAATTTACACATGCATGCAGACAGATCAAACGTAGGTGTTGAACTGTGTTACTATGTGTTACTTATGTTGGTTGTTTGATGCACCTTTGAATTATATAATTCATTGTACACACACACACAGAGATGTGCAACATCAATCCCGTAACATCGTGTAACTCCCAGGTGTTGATCGGTATGGGCGCTACGATTCTGAACCGTGCCGTCATTGGGCGAGGGAGCGTCGTTGGAGCTGGCGCCTTGGTGCTGGAGGGGATGGAGGTGCCTCCTTTCTCCCTGGTGGTGGGCTCGCCTGCCAAGGCCGGGTGTCAGGATGGCAGATCCTGGAGTCGGATGTGTCGGATGTGTGTAGTATGTGCCTGGATATGTCATGATATGTCATGATATCTACTCTACTCCGTTCAGACCTTTGGTGACAAGAAAGTGTCAGCAATGCACCTCTAAATACTGCCAGCTACCACGTAGCGACATGTAGCGACAAGATGATGGAGATCAGGAGAAAACATGGATGATTTACAGGACGTGCGCCGGTAAAAGTCGGCGAGACTTACCCAGATGCAATCGGTAGTGAGATCTATTGCTCCCAATTCATATCCGCTGCATCACAGCAATACCTTCGCTTTAGCCCAAAAGGCATTCGGAACTTCTACAGATGGCAGACCATGACTTCAGCAGACCCCTCTAGGTACTGCCCTCTGTTCAGCACTAGTGAGGTCAAGAAAACATATGATGAGGAGGAACGCAGGGTGGCACAACGCCAGCATGCTGCAAGCTATGCAAAGAAAGCTGCACTTTTCCGCTCTGAACTTCGAGAAGCTCAAGATTATGGCAAGTACATGCTGATGCTGACTGCAGTGGTTTTCATTGGTATGGCTGGCTTATCCAAGCTTAGATGACAGCGTGATGACACCAGGATATATACATATATATACATAAAGGGCTTCAGAAGGGCATTTGGACATCAAACATGAAAGTTAAACAACTTGCTGATGTTCAGTGTGAACTTGCAACAGGAAGGCTACCACGCTCCAGTGTGCCAAAGTGCATTCACTTGATGGACCTTCTCGGAAAGAAACTCAGAGCATGTGCCGCTAGAATCCTTTTGCAGTTTGCACTTTCACAATATTCAGCATGTGACACACCCCGGCAGCTTGTATCTTTGCACTGCAATGTCATGCCCTTCTTTTGCCGTGAGCTGTCCTTTTGGCCAAAGATGCCACCCAGTCAGTCTTGAAATGCATCGCTCAACAACACGATGATGCAAAGTGTGTATATACTGTATACTTAATTTTCTTCGCAATGCAGACGTGAGCGTGAACCAGTTGATGCCTCCATCCATTTGAAGGATCAACATCCGTAAAAAACAGCTTTTTTGTGCCAAGTTGCGACCCTGCAATGGCCCCCAAAATCGACAGTGCCGCTACGCTGTCGCGTCTGGGAAGTGTGGACATTTGTCCACTGCCCCTTGGGGCCAACCAAGACGATGATATGAGGCCTGGAAAATCCTTTGAAACATCAAAAAGGTGCAACAGCTCAAAGGCGGGTTGAAGTCTCAACATGGTTTCATGGCATCGACATGCACTTTTCAATCACTAGCGATGTAAAAATCCTGTGAATGCATGGGTGGCATCACCATGACATCAGCACCATGCTCAGGGCTCCCCTGGACCTAGAAGGCGCTTCCGAAATCGCTCATATGACCTATGCCTTGGTCAACACAGGCTGGGCATGGATTGGGAATGAGAGCTGGGGCTGGCGCTTCGAAGAGGGATTGTTCGGATGAGTATCCTTCAAACGCATTTAGCTGTAGTATGCTGTAGTCATATGTTGACTTTTAGCCTTCGCCTCCCCTCGATTTTGTGGTGACAATGGTTACCCCTTTGATGTAGCCCAGTTCAGGCAAGGAGGTGTTGCAATGCTTAGGGTGAGCCCATGGCGCCAAAATTCCAATCCTTCATTCCCAGACTGTTAGTGACAGATGCCCAGGTCATCACTATCCGCCCTTGGACACTGAAGCGATGCTGGAAGATGCTGAAGTGGTGAATTTGGTACATCGGGTGGCCGTTTTTCTGGGCAGTGCAGAGGCAGAAGGGCAGATGGGGATGCTGGAGATCTGGGGATCTTCAATCTTTGGGGACCTTCGGGGGCTAAGATGCAATGCCGGCAGTGATTTGACTTTCCTTGTGTACCTGGGTCGGTTGATCAGCCAGTGAGACAGATTCGTGCCACCAGATGCCACCAGGCCTATGACAAGATCTGCCAGGATGTTTTTCTCCAACATGCCTCTGTTGAAGGAGATATGGAAAGCCAACTGCCTTTGACCTCCATCCACGGGGTCTTTGAACGCCTCAAGATCCCACCAGAGCATTTGATCATTTTCGAGACGGTCTTGCGAAAGGAGACGAACTTTAAACGAAAGCCGGAGAAGACGCTTGGATATTTTTGCAGACGCCAAACTTGCTCCAGCTATCTCCAAGGCGATTTTTTTTCAAGAGAGTTTAGGTCAATTTCAGGTCAAAAGCATTCTCAGCCAAGGATACCCTACGATCTGTTTCATCAAGTCTTGATCAAAGTCCTACGGCGCATCAGGGACACCTACTGCATTCGTATTCAAAGAGGCTGAGGGAGGGCGCAAGCTGGACTGGGAGAAATGGATTGAAGCTGAATGGAATGAGGTGGTGACGGGAATGAAGATTGTAGGACCAGAGGCGTTGCTTTCACTTTTTCATTCTTTTCAATCATGATCCTTTGCCAGGACAGTTTGTGACACGAAAGACCAGGCTTCCGGTTGCAGAGGGACATGGTCAGGTTGCTGTTTCTGCTGTCTTGTCACCCTGGCATTTGATTTGATGGCGTTTTTGGCTTTTCACTTCCCATGACCAGCATTTGTATACATTTGTGGGCACTGCACTGTATTGCAGTCGTCTAATGCATTCAGGCGTTTGGAGGATGAGTACATGCGCGAAAGCGACTGTGGACGAGGATGCTTTGGTGAGTGTTTCTGGGTGAAGCATAAGGCCACCGGATTTCGCCGAGCAACTCGGCTCTGGATTTGTGCTTTGAAGAAAATCTAAGGTGATGTGACAGTGATGTGAGAGTTTCTTCACATGTTGGACCTATTTGTTCCTTGGTGTGGAGTGTTCTCCCAGGTTGCAAAGCGGATTGCCAAGAAGCGGAGCCAGGTGGGAGCTTGTGGGGCGCTAAAGTCGACAGTGTGACTTTATTTCTCACGAAGTCACTGGCTCCGTGAAGGTTCCCAAAGAAGAAGTGGAGGATGAAATGAACATCTTGCGAAAGCTTGATCACCCGAACATTGTCAGACTCTTCGAATGGTTCGAGTACCTTGGCTAGATTGCAAATAGCACACGGATATGGTCAGTACCTCGCTTAGGCCTACGTTTTTTCTCGCTTAGGACTACGTCGGTGATATATGGCTACAGTCTCAATAGAAAGATATATCGATGGATTTGAACATCATTTCAAGAGGCTTGTACATGTGTGTTAGAGATGATCACCAGGACATTGTCATTGAATCATATGCTGGCACATGCATTTCATGCTGAATCACAGGTGACAAGTAGAGATTCGTCAGTGTCTCTGCGCATCTTACTTGAATGTCATGTTACAACGTATCAGCAACGTCTTGAAAGTGGTTTGCAGAATATGTTACAACGTATCAGGATCCACCATGCTGGTCCCCTAAGCCCACCCCATGTCCCAGCCCCGTGTCCCCAAGTGTTACCCTAAAGGTCTGTATATCATGTTCTCTAATGTAATCCAGCATGCTGGTCCCCTAACCCACCCCATGTCCCAGCCCCGTGTCCCCAAGTGTTACCTAAAGGTCTGTATATCATGTTCTCTAATGTAATCCACCATGCTGGTCCCCTAAGCCCGCCCCATGTCCCAGCCCCGTGTCCCCAAGTGTTACCCTAAAGGTCTGTATATCATGTTCTCTAATGTAATCCAGCATGCTGGTCCCCTAACCCACCCCATGTCCCAGCCCCGTGTCCCCAAGTGTTACCCTAAAGGTCTGTAGATCATGTTCTCTAATGTAATCCACCATGCTGGTCCCCTAAGCCCGCCCCATGTCCCAGCCCCGTGTCCCCAAGTGTTACCCTAAAGGTCTGTATATCATGTTCTCTAATGTAATCCACCATGCTGGTCCCCTAAGCCCACCCCATGTCCCAGCCCCGTGTCCCCAAGTGTTACCCTAAAGGTCTGTATATCATGTTCTCTAATGTAATCCAGCATGCTGGTCCCCTAAGCCCACCCATGTCCCAGCCCCATGTCCCCAAGTGTTACCCTAAAGGTCTGCATATCATGTTCTCTGATGTAATCCAGCATGCTGGTCCCCTAAGCCCACCCGATGTCCCAGCCCCGTGTCCCCAGTGTTACCCTAAAGGTCTGTATATCATGTTCTCTAATGTAATCCAGCATGCAGCATGCTGGTGCCCTGAACCCACCCCATGTCCCAGCCCCGTGTCCCCAAGTGTTACCCTAAAGGTCTGTATCCAATGGAGTTAACCCTGAAGGTTGAAGTCCACATCTCAAAATGTCGTCCTAAGTGAGTGAAAAAGTCGTCCTAAGAGAGCCTTTGGCCCACGGATATACATACATACATACATACATACAGACAGACAGACAGACAGACAGACAGACAGACAGACAGAATAATTAGATATAGTTATATATAATTATAAGTATAATTGTGAATAATTGACGCACACATAAGTAAATAAATAAATACAATATATAACCGACTAAATATAAATATAAATATGAATATAAATATATAAAAAAATATAAGTCTAGATAAATAACGAATGAACACATATATAAATGAATACATAAATAAATATATATAAATAAATTAGATGAATAAATCAAGAAATATTTGACACGGTATGACATGTATGTGCATACATATGTAATTATATATCATAGTGTGGAAGATGAGCGTGCTTCTTGCTGGCATGGTCCAACTGGGCATGCTGCGTCTTCCGAGGGCAGACGACGACTTTCTTTTGGCCAGGATCTCAGCAATGCTTGCGATGGCCGGCTTGTTGAGCCGCCTTCCAGCATCAATCGGTTTGGGCAAAAAGGCTGCTGTCAGTGCTTCGATTCCACCATCACCTGAAAGGGCCCAAAGACAACATGTTCAAATGTACTCGTACATGCAAATGATCTGGTTATGTTCAAGCGTATAACTATCAACTCTGATGGCCAGCTTTTTTCTGGATTGTGATATGGCTGATATGGGTTAAAAAACGCAGGGATGCTCGGCTGCTCGTCTTTCCCTCAGGTGATGGAAGGTGCACGGGCGGGAGATCTGGGCCGGGCCCTGCAACGAGCCAAGCAGGTGGCTCTGAGGGCTGCTGTGGGTTGGTAGGCCTTGTTTATGCGATCTTTCAAAGTAGTTCAGGCACAGGAGCTGTCAACGCCACATATGCGCAGTCAGTGCAGCTTTTTCAGTTGGCAGAACTTTGTTGGAGGTCTGACTCCTTCATGACATTCTTTCCATGATTGAACCATTGACATCCATTGACTCTACCAGGAGGGACACAGAGGGCTCCAGGAGAATGTGGTGCGAGTTCTGATTCAGCAAGCCCTTGATGCCTTAGCAGCTTGGCACGATTTCAAACTTCGCAGATGTTCGCAGTTGATTTGGGCAGTGATTGGCGGACAAATAAATATGATCAAATATGTATATACGCATCAATTTATCACAAATCATCACATACTGTACCCATCCCATTCTTGACATGTTTCGAGTGGAGTATTATAGTTGCAGTATAAGTGCAGAGGGTATTCTGAGGGCATTCCCCCATTTCATATCGAAATGAGGACCAGCCCTTCTTCCCAGGTCTACATCCATTCAGAGAAGGTGATCCACCGGGATGTGAAACCCGCTAATATGATCTTGACGAAATTAGAGCCTCGCCTTCCTTTGCCATTGTGTTGTTGTTGTTGTTGTTGCTGTGGTTGTTGTGGTTGTTGTGTTGTTGGTTTGTTGGTTTGTTGGTTTGTTGGTTTGTTGGTTTGTTGGTTTGTTGGTTTGTTGGTTTGTTGGTTTGTTGGTTTGTTGGTGTGTTGGTGTGTTGGTTTGTTGGTTTGTTGGTTTGTTGGTTTGTTGGTTTGTTGGTTTGTTGGTTTGTTGGTTTGTTGGTGTGTTGGTTTGTTGGTTTGTTGGTTTGTTGGTTTGTTGGTTGTTGTTTGTTGTTTGTTGTTTGTTTTTTGTTGTGTGTTGTTTGGTTGTTTGGTTGTTTGGTTGTTTGGTTGTTTGGTTGTTTGGTTGTTTGGTTGTTTGGTTGTTTTGTTGTTTTGTTGTTGTTGTTGTTGTTGTCGTCGTTGTCATTGTTGTTGGTTTGTGGTTTGTGGTTTGTGGTTTGTTGTTTGTTGTTTGTTTGTTGATGACGACGACGACGACGATGATGATGATGATTTTGGTCATGACCGAAAACATGCAACGTGTATCTCTCTGAGAGAGCACTGCAGCCCTAACAATTGCGACAGAGACGTTTCAACAGCATCGCTTTATTTGGCATTCAGGGTTGGTCAACAACTGAGGACCAGTTCCCTCCCCATTTACTCCTAGCAGATTTCGGAATTGCTACTGTGCCTCGGCCCGCAGACGAATGATGCGAATCGATTTCTGCACTTGAAGTGTGGCAACTGTTTTGCTGCGCCTTGCATTTTGAGCCTACGTGCAAACAGGCTCAACATTTCTCAGGTATTTCAACCGGATGCACCTGCAGCGGCGCCACTAAGTTCAGACTTGAATGATGATTTTTGTTCTTCGATGTTCTTTGACATTTTTGATGTTAACATTTTGTAAGTAACTGCTCATCTCGTATTTTCTTATTTTGTTATCGTGGCAGATCTGGGCGTTTCTGTTTCTGCGATTCTCTGAGGTCAAGGGGGCCAACAGGGACTTATGCGTACATGGCACCCGAATGCTATGACAACAACGTCACGCCCAAGGTTGACGTTTGGGCTCTCGGGATAGCTGCTGAGCTGCACATGTCAGAAATGTGTAAGAAATTTGTAAGATTAAGATATGTAAGATTCCACAAAGTGTTCTTACCCTCAGCGCTTGAGATGGGCTGGAAGCCTCCCGTTGGGAAGGTTTCTAGGGACATGTGACATCCTTGTCAAACATGGCCTTTCTTCTTCTCCCGTCTTCTTTTCCAACTGTTCCTGCAGGCTGTCGTTCTGGCTCATCCGGTTTCTACCTGCTTACATGTTTCTGCCAGCGTTTGCAACATCCGAGCTCATCAATATATCCCTTTACTTCTGCTATTTTTATTCTCAAGCGAGCTTTGAACAGGCCCACTTTGTTCAGGGCAAATTTCTAAGGAGGAAGGACGTCATTTTTCAATAGTCCTAGCGGCCATAGCGCAAATGCCAAGGTTGCATATGAATGTCTTTGTGGACACCGACCTTTTGGCGACTCTCAATTTGTGGTGGAGTATGAAAGTCGCCACGAACCTCGTCCGGTGGACATGAAGGCCATCGTTGACATAGGCATCAGCCAGGTGCGGCACGATCCAACCCTGAGGCTATTTTCTGGCTTGTTCTGGTTCTTAGATTGAAGTGTGGCAGCTGCAGATTTAATGATTCCCCCATCCCAGCTACATTATACACTGTTTCACCACCCAGCCGCAGCTCAAGATCCGTAGCAGGCTGCGGTGAAATTCATCTCTTGGCTCTTGGAGAAACAGGAGGCATGGCGGCCATCCTCTGAAGAGGCCGGGCTGCCCTTTGAGCCATAGGTTGAGCCGGTTGAGTCAATGGTTGAGCCGGTTGAGCCATGGTTGCTAGGCGCAGAAGGAGTTCAATTGGCCGGAGGTGGCACAACCTGATGGCTACGTGACTTCACTCATTGGCTTCAGCAAGAAGAGCACCTTCTCCAAGGCCGTCTATCTCTGTGCCGCCAGTCAGCTGGACACCTCCAAATTGGATGGCTTGAATGAGATGTTCAAACGCTTGGATACGGACCGCACCTTGCCTGAGACGCTGGGGTCTCTCCACTGATTGGTGTGATATACAGTGTGTGCAATAAATAAATAATATATAAATATATGAACACACATATAGATAAGTAAATAAACAATTAGATAAATAAATAAACAAACACACACACAGATATATATATATAAGTTATATATATATATGTGCACATAATTTACTTATTTATTATTATTATTATTATATATATATATGATGTGTGAGTGTATGCGCGTGACATTTATGTATATATATATATATACATATATACATATATATATATAATATGATATATGTGCCATTCGAATTTCTCAGTAAATGCCAGGGAAGATCCCTGCCCACTTGTCCAAACGCATAGTGCAGCTGGGGGTTGAGGCAATGGCAAGCTGTCCATGCAGGAGTTCAAAGAGGGTTTGAGGCCGCTACCAGCTGAATTGACAGCACTTTTTGCAGGTTGAAGGTAGGCTGGCTGTCCCTGGCAGAAGTTTGTTGAACGTCTCGCAACGGATTACCACCATTCACCAGGCAAGTGTTGGATCCAGAATCCATTGAAAAGATGGTGGATGCTCTTGACATGGATCACAGTGGCAGTGTGCCATCTCTGCATCTTTGTGCATGGCCGTTCAGGCTTCACAGTTTTGACACTTCACTTTTGTGTTGCACAGTCTTCTACTTCACATCGCTATTCGTTCTCCAAGATCTGAGGCAGACTATTCGGAATTTATCGCAGGATGTTTGGATGCCCACACTGATTTGATTGAGAGCGCTTTGTCTCATGTCTTTCACGTCTTTGACATCAACGGAGACGGCAAGATCTCTCTGAAAGAGCTCTCCTCGATCCTCACTTCTGATGGATCTCTTTCAATCGTGCTTCCTGAAGGGAAGACGGTAGAAGAGTTCATGAAGGATTCTTGGCCGAACTGGGCAATGAATCACGAAGGGCTCGCTTTCCTTTCACCACATTCCGCAGTGTCAAGCTAGGCTGAAACTGTCCACCTTCAGAAAAACGGGAGCTCCAACAGCTCCATCGCTGATAAGGAGATTGACGCTTCACAAGATGGATTCATTAGCTTTGACGAGCTGAAGGAATACCTCAAAAGGGAAGTCGCCTGGCCAACACCTTGAAGCAAACGAGGTAAAGAACTCTGCCTTTGTCAGACAATAAACACAGAACAACATACACAAACCGTCATCAAGTAACTGTATAAGTATAAATGACAAATGTTGGTGTTAACTGCCATTTGCATATACATCCTCATATCCTGGGATGATAATCCCTTGACTGAGGCAGCGGCCTCCAGTGCACTGCCAAGCAAGGCGTTGGTTCGCCCAGCGGAACGTTGCCTGGCCATGGATTTGGGAGGGTGGGGTTGGCCGGCCAATCGAACCATGTGGAGCCATGTTCAGTTCATGTTGAATCATGTTGAACTCCATCCAGTAACCGATGCTCACATCTCCAAATCTTCCACAGCTTCTCAGCCCAACGAAGCATTTGATGACAATTTGATGACTATTTGATGACTATTTGATGGTTTGTGGCGGGCTGAGGTTCCACGCCAGGGCTTTTCGCATCTCCGGCAATGAGTCAATCCAGCCCTAGTTTCTCTCCAGATTTGATGTCACTCGTCTGATCCCAGGCCCCTAACAACCAGCCACAGGTAGTGACAGACTGATGACTACTGATGGTTGTTTCAGATAGGTTTCCATTATATATCTTTGAGTGTTTATAAATTTGTAAACGTTACTATATATATATAGTATATACCTTATGCATATATAACTTAATATCTTAATGGTTTATTATATTTATGGTTCAGCTTCAATGGAGCTCCACAAAAGGAGTGGATTCCAGTACGCAATTAAAATTAAATCACAATCTAAACCGTTACCATCAGATACACTTCAACCTGTCCCTGCCAGGTGTGAACTCGAGATTTAATCCCTTTTGTTGCTGGATCATTTTGGGAGGATTAAATTCTGATTTAATTCTTTGCTAATGACATCTGGAGATTCCAGGGGGAGGTATCCATCTGTGGGGAATTAAATCTTGATTCAACTCTTTTTTATGGTGTGCGGCTTTCATTTTGGGGCATTAAATCTTGATTTAATTCCTTTTCATTGGGAAATCCAGAAGACTTCGGGCAATTGCACTATTACAGTTAAACTATATCAACTATTACAGTTAAACTTCGGGCAATTGCACTTAAAGAGACTACATGAAAAGAGTAGAGAAGAGAAAGGGAAAGAATCAGAAGGATGGAGAAGGTAAAGGAGAAAAAAAGAGTTGAAAAGAAGAGGGAAGAAAAAATACAAGCAGAGTAATGTAGGCTGCCTAATAGTAAATCCCCCCTAAATATATTTCTTTTTTAAAAATTAGGGGGGTCAGCATTCCAATAGTAATTTTTTGGAACTTTATGGCTGGGATCATGATATGTATCTGATAGATTCTCCATGGTTTTGTTGGGTTTCTGATAGATTCTGAATGGATTTGGTTGGGTTTCTGAGAGATTGGCGACGAGTGGGAAAGGAGAAGGATGAGAAGGAGAAGGAGAAGGAGAAGGAGGACAACAAAATTGGAGTTGCGGAAAAAAGTTTCCACTATTGCCATGCCTGGTGCAGGTTTGTTATTGCTATTCTGGGGCTTGCAAAGGGGGTACCCATTGTGCTGTTTTCTTGCTTTTTTTAATAAGGGTTTTATAAGGAAATCAGCTGTTTGGTAATTGGATCAGATTTCTGGAATCTAAGCTTTTGCCAATCAAAAGTGAAGGCTGCTTTGAAAAGGATTTGCTTTACTTGACTCTTTTGGCAATACTAAAAGTAAATGGAGCTAATTGACTTTAAGTATTGGAGAAAAATTGGAGTTGGGAAAACAGTTTCCACTATTGCCATGTTGGGTCCACTATTGGCCATGCCCTCTGGACAAGGTCTGAACATGACTCTTTTGGCAATACTACAAGTAACTGGAGTTAATTGACTCTTAGTATTGGAGAAAAAATGGAGTTGCGGAAAAATGTTTCTACTATTGACAAGATATCACTATTGGCTAGACAACATTAGGGAAGAAGAGGGAAGAAAGAGCAGAATGTATCAGAGACAATTTGAACAGAATTAACTCAAGATTTAACTCCTTCTCAAGAGATCCTATACCAACTGCAAGAGCAGGAGGTATCAGAGTCAATAAGAACAGAATTAACTCAAGATTTAATTCCCTCAAAAGAGATCCTATATCAACTATTACAGTTAAACTTCGGGCAAGTGCACTTAAAGAGACTACATGAAAATAATAGAGAAGAGAAAGGGAGAGAATCAGAAGGATGGAGAAGGTAGAGGAGAAACAAAAGAGTTGAAAAGAAGAGGGAAAAATAAATACAAGCAGAGTAGGGAAGAAGAGGGAAGAAAGAGAAAAGGGTATCAGAGCCAATATGAACAGAATTAACTCAAGATTTAATTCCCTCAAAAGAGATCCTATATCAACTATTACAGTTAAACTTCGGGCAAGTGCACTTAAAGAGACTACATGAAAAGAGTAGAGAAGAGAAAGGGAAAGAATCAGAAGGATGGAGAAGGTAAAGGAGAAAAAAAAAGTTGAAAAGAAGAGGGAAGAATAAACACAAGCAGAGTAGATAAGAAGAGGGAAGAAAGAGCAGGAAGTATCAGAGCCAATATGAACAGAATTAACTCAAGATTTAATTCCCTCAAAAGAGATCCTATATCAACTATCACAGTTGAACTTCGGGCAAGTGCACTTAAAGAGACTACATGAAAAGAGTAGAGAAGAGAAAGGGAAAGAATCAGAAGGATGGAGAAGGTAAAGGAGAAAAAAAAAGAGTTGAAAAGACGAGGGAAGAATAAATACAAGCAGAGTAGAGAAGAAGAGGGAAGAAAGAGCAGGAAGTATCAGAGCCAATATGAACAGAATTAACTCAAAATTTAATTCCCTCAAAAGAGATCCTATATCAACTATTACAGTTAAACTTCGGGCAAGTGCACTTAAAGAGACTACATGAAAAGAGTAGAGAAGAGAAAGGGAAAGAATCAGAAGGATGGAGAAGGTAAAGGAGAAAAAAACAGTTGAAAAGAAGAGGGAAGAATAAACACAAGCAGAGTAGATAAGAAGAGGGAAGAAAGAGCAGGAAGTATCAGAGCCAATATGAACAGAATTAACTCAAGATTTAATTCCCTCAAAAGAGATCCTATATCAACTATTACAGTTAAACTTCGGGCAAGTGCACTTAAAGAGACTACATGAAAAGAGTAGAGAAGAGAAAGGGAAAGAATCAGAAGGATGGAGAAGGTAAAGGAGAAAAAAAGAGTTGAAAAGAAGAGGGAAGAATAAATACAAGCAGAGTAATGTAGGCTTCCTAATAGTAAATCCCCCCTAAATATATATTTTTTTTAGAAAATTGGGGGGGTCAGCATTCCAATAGTAATTTTTTGGAACTTTATAGCTGGGATCATGATATGTATCTGATAGATTCTCCATGGTTTTGTTGGGTTTCTGATAGATTCTGAATGGATTTGGTTGGGTTTCTGAGAGATTGGCGAAGAGTGGGAAAGGAGAAGAAGGAGAAGGAGAAGGAGAAGGAGGACAACAAAATTGGAGTTGCGGAAAAAAGTTTCCACTATTGCCATGCCTGGTGCAGGTTTGTTATTGCTATTCTGGGGCTTGCAAAGGGGGTACCCATTGTGCTGTTTTCTTGCTTTTTTTAATAAGGGTTTTATAAGGAAATCAGCTGTTTGGTAATTGGATCAGATTTCTGGAATCTAAGCTTTTGCCAATCAAAAGTGAAGGCTGCTTTGAAAAGGATTTGCTTTACTTGACTCTTTTGGCAATACTAAAAGTAAATGGAGCTAATTGACTTTAAGTATTGGAGAAAAAATTGGAGTTGGGAAAACAGTTTCCACTATTGCCATGTTGGGTCCACTATTGGCCATGCCCTCTGGACAAGGTCTGAACATGACTCTTTTGGCAATACTAAAAGTAACTGGAGCTAATTGACTTTTAGTATTGGAGAAAAAATGGAGTTGCGGAAAAATGTTTCTACTATTGACAAGATATCACTATTGGCTAGACAACATTAGGGAAGAAGAGGGAAGAAAGAGCAGAAGGTATCAGAGACAATTTGAACAGAATTAACTCAAGATTTAACTCCTTCTCAAGAGATCCTATACCAACTGAAAGAGCAGGAGGTATCAGAGTCAATAAGAACAGAATTAACTCAAGATTTAATTCCCTCAAAAGAGATCCTATATCAACTATTACAGTTAAACTTCGGGCAAGTGCACTTAAAGAGACTACATGAAAAGAGTAGAGAAAGGGAGAGAATCAGAAGGATGGAGAAGGTAGAGGAGAAACAAAAGAGTTGAAAAGAAGAGGGAAAAATAAATACAAGCAGAGTAGGGAAGAAGAGGGAAGAAAGAGAAAAGGGTATCAGAGACAATTTGAACAAAATTAACTCAAGATTTAATTCCCTCAAAAGAGATCCTATATCAACTATTACAGTTAAACTTCGGGCAAGTGCACTTAAAGAGACTACATGAAAAGAGTAGAGAAGAGAAAGGGAAAGAATCAGAAGGATGGAGAAGGTAAAGGAGAAAAAAAAAGTTGAAAAGAAGAGGGAAGAATAAATACAAGCAGAGTAGGGAAGAAGAGGGAAGAAAGAGAAAAGGGTATCAGAGACAATTTGAACAAAATTAACTCAAGATTTAATTCCCTCAAAAGAGATCCTATATCAACTATTACAGTTAAACTTCGGGCAAGTGCACTTAAAGAGACTACATGAAAAGAGTAGAGAAGAGAAAGGGAAAGAATCAGAAGGATGGAGAAGGTAAAGGAGAAAAAAAAAGTTGAAAAGAAGAGGGAAGAATAAATACAAGCAGAGTAGAGAAGAAGAGGGAAGAAAGAGCAGGAAGTATCAGAGCCAATATGAACAGAAGTAACTCAAGATTTAATTCCCTCAAAAGAGACCCTATATCAACTATTACAGTTAAACTTCGGGCAAGTGCACTTAAAGAGACTACATGGAAAGAGTAGAGAAGAGAAAGGGAAAGAATCAGAAGGATGGAGAAGGTAAAGGAGAAAAAAAGAGTTGAAAGGAAGAGGGAAGAATAAATACAAGCAGAGTAGATAAGAAGAGGGAAGAAAGAGCAGGAAGTATCAGAGCCAATATGAACATAATTAACTCAAGATTTAATTCCCTCAAAAGAGATCCTATATCAACTATTGCAGTTAAACTTCGGGCAAGTGCACTTAAAGAGACTACATGAAAAGAGTAGAGAAGAGAAAGGGAAAGAATCAGAAGGATGGAGAAGGTAAAGGAGAAAAAAAGAGTTGAAAAGAAGAGGGAAGAATAAATACAAGCAGAGTAGATAAGAAGAGGGAAGAAAGAGCAGGAAGTATCAGAGCCAATATGAACATAATTAACTCAAGATTTAATTCCCTCAAAAGAGATCCTATATCAACTATTACAGTTAAACTTCGGGCAAGTGCACTTAAAGAGACTACATGAAAAGAGTAG